GCTCCCGGCCCCTGCCTCTGCCGCTGCGGCGGGGCCGTGCGGGCGCGCTCCCCATGGCGGGGGCGGCCCCGGTGCGGCGGCGGCGGCGCAGGGCGAGGGGGCGGCCGGGCCAATGTGGCGGCGGTGGCGGCGCGGCGGCCGCCTTGCATCAGCCCCGTGGTGCGATCCCGGCCATTTGCATACGGGGAGGGGACGGGCGGGGAGGGGACGGGGGGGGGCAGCGCCGCCGCCACCAGCCCCGCAGCCGCCGCCGCCACCTGATGCAACCCGGGCGGCCCCGCTCCCACCCGGCCCCGCCGCCCCCTCGCCGGTCCCGGCCGCACCCCCCCGGTGCCGCCCCCCCCCCGGTACCTTTCTCATGGCCCCAGCTGCCGCCCGGGCCGCGGCGCGCTCCGCTCATGTTCCCCGGGGGGGGCGGCGGGCCGGGCTGCCCGGGGCGCGGCGCCGCGCTCGCATCCCCGGCCGGCGGCGGGAGCCGCTCCCCGCCCGGTGCCGCCCGGTCCGGTCCGGTCCCGCCGGCCACAGGTGCCCCCGGCCCCGCCGCCGCCGCCGCCCCCGCCCCGCGGCCCCGCTCCGGCCCCCGCCGCCCGCCCGGGCCGGGCTGCGGCGCGCCCCGCCCGCCCCTCCCCCGCCGTTACCTTGGCTGCGGCGCCGCCGGGCCCCGCCCCGCCCCGCCGGGATGCGGCGCCGCCGGGCCCCGCCCCCTCGCCGCGCCCCGCCCCCGCCCCGCTCCCGCCGCCAATCCCCGCCGCCGGCAGCCCCCGCCCCGCCCAATCGGCAGCCGCGCGGCGCCGAGCCCCGCCCCCAGCCCCGCCCCGCCCCCCCGTGGCGCAGCGGGGCCCCGCCCCTCCGGTGACCGGGGGGAGCCGCCCGCCCCCCGCCCCCCCCCCCTCCTCCGCCGCCTCCCCCGGCTGCGGCACGGCCCGGCCCGGCCCCACCCCCCCGGCCCGGCCCCCCCCGCCCCGCGGACGCCGCCGCAGCCCCGGGGCCGTGGCCACAACGGCCCCGCCGCGCCCCCCCCCCCCCCGGCCGCACCGGGCGCGGTGACCTTGGGCCGCGGGGAGGCCCCGGGGCCGGTTGTTGGCGCGGCCCCGCCCCGCGGTGTCCCCGCGGAACCGCTCGGGGCCGGGATCCCCGGGACCGGCCCCGCCGCAGGGGGCAGGGAGGGGCCGGGCCCGGGGCTTTGTCCCCGCAGAGCCCCGCGGGACCGGGAGCCGACCCCGGGAGGCCGCGCCCCGGCCCCGGCCCGGCCCCAGCCGCCGCCGCCCGGAGCCAGCCCCACGCCCCGGGGAGGCCGCACCGGCCCCGCACCCACCCGGCCCCACCGGGCGCAGAACGGGGCCGGGCCCGGCGGGGGCGTGGGGGGGGGGCACCGGGGCAGGGCCCTGAACCGGGACTCGGGGCTCCGGCAGCAGGCACAGGCCCAGCCCCGGGGGGAGGCGGCGCCGTGCCCGTGCCGAGGGGGGGGCGGCCGGGCAGGACCTCCCCGCCCCGGTGCCACCGGAGCCGCCCCGGGCCCTGAGCCTGGAGCTAAAGACTGGGAGGGGGGCCGGGCGGGGCAGCCCCCCCGCCTCAATGTGTCCGGCAGGACGGACACCCAGACAGACGGACACACACCCAGACACCCAGCGGCCGTGCTCCGCCCGCCTGGGCTGCCCCGGGCTCCCCCCCCCCGGGAATCCCCCTCGGAGCCCGGTTCCTCCGAGGCTCTGGGGCAGGCGCGGCCCCAGCCAGGAGCCGTGGGCAGGGGGGGGGCGAGGAGGAGGAGGAGGAGGAGGAGGAGGAGGAATGGCAGGCGGTGGCACCGTTCCGCAGGCCGCACGTGACCTTGCTCAGGGCACTCGGCAGCTTCCCCAGCAGGGAGCTGCTGCCCGGCCCTGGGGGCGCCTCCCGGGACCCCTCCCAGAGCGGGCGCGAGGCCCTGAGGGGTTGGGGCTCGGTCCCACAGCCCCGGCCGCTGGCCCTGCAGCAGCACCACCCGAAGCACCGGCCAGCACTGGCTCACGCCGCTGGCTGTCCGCGGTGCCCGGCCTCCTGCTCAGCCACAGCCCCGTGATGGGCGCTCACAGCAGCCCCCACAGCAGCCCGCAGAGCCCCCGGCAGCCTTTGGGGACAGGCAGCACGGCGGCAGGGTGGCTCCTGGCCTCTCCCTGCCCCAACGCCTCGGCAGCTCCCCTGAACCTGGACCCGACCGATTTCTGAGACACCAGCAGCACTGGGAGCAGCCGGCGCTGCAACGCGGCACCAACGTGCTCACAGCGTGGCCAGGGAGACGTCGAGGCTGAGCGCGCCGCGACAAAGAACCCGTGCCAAAAAGGAACCAGAGCAGCAGCGAGCAGGGACCAGGGCCCGGTTGCGTCACAGCGTCTGAAAGGTTATGCCCAGGCAGAAAAATAAACCACTTTCCAGTTCACCTCTCCCCACCCCTCTGTGATGAAAACCAAGCCATAAACATCTCCCCTGGACGAGCTCCAGAGCCGAGTAACCCAACCACCCCGCCGACACCTGGGCCGGGGCTGTTACCCAACGCCTGTGTTTATTTCCCGGCGTTGTTTTATCGGTTTCACAACACAGAGCTACGTGCACACGCTGCGGCACCAGCCCCGGCCCGTTCTCCCCTTCCAGCACCACTCTCAGACCGAGAACCAAGCCAACAGAAGGACAAAAACGGCCCCACGCACACCCAGGGCCTGCGACCACGCCGTGCCTCGGCCCCGCCAGCTCCCGGGCAGGAGCCCGCCGCTCCCACGCGCCAAGCACACGCAAAGCCCCGCTCAGCTCCGACAGACCCTGAACCAGCGAGGGCCGGCCCAGCCCGAGCTCCCCAGGAGCTCCCCCTCCGTCCCCCCGCGCGCCCGGGGAGCCGCCTACCTCTTTGGTCAGGTCCCCGTTCACCGGGGGAGCCACCGCTCCCAGGTCCTCCAGCTCCTCCCCGAAGCCCTGCTCGGCCCCGCTCTCCCTCACGCTGCCGTCGGGGCCGCTCCCATCCTGCAGGCCGCCGCCGTTCTCGAGGGCGATGCCGGCGCTGGGCTGGGTGCCGGACACAGAGCCCTCGGGGTCGCGGTGCACCAGCCAGGCGCTCACCTCGGTGGTGGGCACCTGAAACCTGTCCAGGGCCCTGACCTGGTTGAGCAGGCGGCGCGCCGTGAAGTAATAGTCCAGGTCTACGCTCTTGGGGTGGATGCCATAGCCATCCAAGGTGTTGCGCAGGTTGTGGAACTGGGTCTGGGTGTAGGCCGAGCTCTGCCCGAGGATGATCTCCCGCAGGGGGGGCAGCTGCGAGGTCAGGTAGGTGTCCACGTCCACGCGGACACCGATCAGGCTGAGCAGGATGGTGAACTGGATGAGGCCTTCAGTGAAGTATTTCTTCAGAGAAAGCATTTCTGGGGGGGCAGGGGGGGGTTAAAACACAACAGCAACAAAACAACAACAAAGCAAACAACAACAATCAAACACCACCACCGGGCCCCGCGCCCCCCGGGCCGCCCCCGCCCCCCAACAGCCCGGTTTGGGTGCCCGGAGCTCGGCCCCGGGCCGGCTCCTGCGGGCCCCGCCGGGCACCGGCACCGGACAGGGGCGAGCTCGGGGTGCCCGGGGGGTTCCGGGGGGGGCGCCCCCGGTCCCGCCGCGCTCCCGAGGGGCCGGGGACAGCCCCGGGGCCTGCTCCCGCGGCCGGGTCCTCACCGGCGGCTGGAGGCTGGGCCCCGCCGGGCTTCCGGGCCTCCCCCCCCCCGCGGGGCACCGGGAGCACGAGGCCCCCGCGGCCCCTCCCCGCCCCGCCCCGCCCCAGGCCCCCCCCAGGCCTCGGCCCCGGCCCCGCGGGCCCCGCCCGGGCCCTTCCAGGCCCCCCCCGCCCCCCGCGGCCCCCCCGCCCCTCGGCCCCGGCCCCGCGCCCCCCCCGCCCCCCGCTACCCGCTCGCCGCCGCCGCCGCCGCTCGCTCCCAGCCCCGCCGCCGCCGCCGGCCCCGCTCGCGCTCCCCGCCCTGGCCCCCGCCTCCCCCTCCCGCCTCGCGCGGCCCCTCCGCCAATCGGCAGCAGCCGCGGGGAGGCGGGACCGGGCGGTGGCCCAATGGGCGGTCGCGGCGAGGCGTCGCTCCCGCCCCCGCCGCCGCCGTGACGGGCAGGCGGGGCGGCCAATCGGAGCGCGGAGAGAGGCGATGGCCCCGGAGCTTCGCCCGGCGGCCGCGCGCTGGACCAATCGGCGAGGAGAAGCCACCCCGAGAGACCCGCCCCTCGCGTCATGACCGACGTGGCGGCCGCCCAACGGGACGCGAGCCTTCGGCCGAGCGACAGCGGCAGCCGCCAATCACGCGGCGCTCGGCAGCCAGCCGCCGGGCCGGCGACTTGAGTGACAGCCGCGTGCACCAATCCCCGCGGCGCGGGCACCGCCCCAAGGCCCCGCTGCCGTTGCCATGGCGACCGCCCGCCCCGGGCCCTCTCGGCCGAGGCCTGCGGGGACCCGGGGCCGAACCGGGCCCCGCCCCCCCCGGCTCGCTGACAACGGCCCCGGGAGGCGGCCCGGCCCGCCCGGCCCCGGCCCGGCCCACGGTTCCGCGAGGCTCCGCCGCGAGCGCTCCCCCACTGGGGGGGGCAGTCCCGGGGGTCCCTGAGGTCCCAGCGCCCCGTCCCGGGGCTCCTGGCGCAGAGCGGGCACGGCCCGGGGCCCTCCCGGTGCCCCCCGGGGCCTCCCCAGGCCGCCGCGGGGCCGGGCCCGAGGGGCGCTGCCAGCAGCAACCCGAGCCCCCCGCGTTATTTTTAGCCCCCCGCCGGCGCCGGGGCCCCGGAGCGGTGCGGAGCCGCCTGAACACCGGCCCCGGGGCCGCTCGGGGACAGCTGCGGGCACCGGCACGGCACAAACACGGCCGGGGGGGCAGGGGGCTCGCGGGAGCTCCCCGGGGCTGGGCTGCGAGCGGCAGGGCCGGGCCCGTTCCCAGCCCCCTTCCCGGCCCCGGCCCCGGCGCTGGCAGCAGCCCGGGGCGGTTGGGGCGCAGCCGGTGAGTCACCGGCAGGGCACGGGAGCCCGGGGCAGGGCGGGACCCGGCGCGGTGCCGACCCCCCCCTGCAGCGGGGGCACCCACTGGGGGAGCCCAAACCCGGCACCCCCGGGGTGACCCCAGAGGTGGGGGGGGGGCTCCTCGCCCCCCTGCACCCCCCCGGTCACTGCCCTGCCCCGGTGCCGGTGTTTAGGGGGGGTCCCCGGGGAGCGGCCCCCCCATAGCAGCCAGGCACTGCAGCACCTTGGGGTGCAGGATCCCAGCCGAGAGGGGCCCCGTGCCCACCCCTCCCCTGCTGCAGCGCCGGGGGGGGGGGAACGGGGGGGCTGCCCGGGGTGGCGGAGCCATGGAGCCCACGGGGCTGCCGGTACGGGGACAACGGGGACAGGACGGGAACTTTGTGCAGCCACCGCAGGACGGGGAGGAACGTGTGGGAAAGGGAGGGGGGAATGGGGGGGCAGAGGAGATAAAGAGGGGGGGAATGGGGGAACCCCAGAAACGGTGGGAAATGGGGAAACTTCGGAGTTGGGGGGTGACATGGGGGGAGAGGGGAGGGGTGGGGAAATGGGGAGAGTGGGGGGGGGGGCAGGGGAGTGAGGGAAGGTCCCAAAAAACAGAGAGGGGGGACCCCAGAGGGACAGGGGGCTGGGGGGGCACCGGTGCCCCCAGGCAGCGCGAGGCAGGCCCCAGCTGTAGCCGGCCCGGGGGGGCTGAGCCGCTGCGCCCCCCAGGAGCCCTCCCTGTACACGGTGAAGGCGCTGCTCGTCCTCGACAGCCACGGGCAGCGGCTCCTGGCCAAGGTGAGGCCCGGCCCCGGCCCCGGCCTCGCTGCTTTGGCTTCCCTGCTCCCTCCGGGGGGGTCGGGGGGCTGGATCCGGTCACCGTGCTGACCCCCCCCGCACCCCCCAGTACTACGACGGCAGCTTCCCCACGGCGCAGGAGCAGGCGGCCTTCGAGAGCAGCATCTTCAGCAAGACCCGCGGGGCAGGCGGTGAGCACAGGGGGGAGCCTCCGTGGTGGGGGGGGCTGCAAAAGGTCTGGGGTGCCCGGGGACATGGCAGGGGGACAGGGGGGACACGTCCTGTGTCCCCCCAGGGGAGATCACCTGCCTGGACGGCCTCACCGTGGTCTACAGGAGCAGCAGCGACCTCCTCTTCTGCGTGGTGGGGGGCCCCCAGGAGAACGAGGTACGGGGGGCTTGGGGGGGGGGACCTGGACCCCTTGGGGCCACGGCTGACTGCCGCTGTCCCGCAGCTGATGCTGTCAGCCGTGCTTGGCTGCCTCTGCGACGCCCTCAGGCCTCGTGCTGCGGTGAGTGCCCCCGAGGGGACCCCGAGGTGGGGTGGGGGCAGCTCGGCCCCTGGGGGGACACCGTGGGCTGGGACCCAGCGCGGGGACCCAGCGAGGGGACATCCTGGGGGCTCCCCCGCAGGAAGGACTTGGAGAAGCGCTGGCTGCTGGAGAACCTGGACGGGGCCTTCCTGGTGCTGGACGAGATCGTGGACAGGGGGTGAGGCCGAGGGCAGCCCGGGCCCCGTGGGTGCGGGCAGTGGGTGGCTGTGGGGTGAGCACCAGGGGGGGCTGCAGGACCAAATGCGGGGCAGCCCAAATGGGGGTGCCCAGCTCCATCCCGGAGCCTTCGCCCAGGCCCCAAAGAACGCCCGGCACAGGGAGGGAAACTGAGGCAGGGCGGGGGAAATGGGGAGGGGGCACAACCGGCACCCACAGGACGGTGCCGGCCCCACTGCCCGCAGGGTGATCCTGGAGAGCGACCCCCAGCGCGTGCTGCAGCGCCTGGGCCCGCGGGTGAGTGCCGACCCCCCCACGCTGCCCCCCAACCCCTCCACCTCCTCCCCGACCCCCCCCCCCCACCCTCAGCCTCTCCGCAGGCCCCCGAGCCCGCTCCCTACGGCTTCGTGCTCTTCGATTACCTGGCGGGCAGCCGCGAGCAGGGGGGCGCGGGGGGCGCCGACCCCCCCAAGTAGAAGCACCCAGGGGCTGCAGCCCCCCCCCGGTGGCCCCGAGCCAGCTCCCACCCCCGGCGTTAGGAACAGCGAGGGAACCGCTCAGGATCCCGGAGACCAGGTTGGCCGCCCTCCTGCCCCCCCGTTGGGCCCCCGTGGATCCCAAACGGCTCCGGGCTGCCCCCAATAAAGCTGCTGCCCCCAGCGCCCCCACCCCCGCCTCTGCCCCCCTCATTCTGGGGGGCTCAGCCCTGCCACGACCCCCGCCCAGTGCCCCCACCCGTGGGGTCTGAGGGGCGAGCACCAGGGGGCTGCCGGTCGCTGGGGGGTGCCCAACCCGGTCTGTTACAGCCACACGGCACCGGCCCGGACCCCCCGTGCCCCCCCCACGCCCCAGGACCCGGCTCCCCCCTCCCCCCGGTGCCGCCGCCTCTCGCGCGACGCCCCCCGGCCGAGCCCCGGCGCTGCTTTGCATAGCCACGCCCCCTCCCGGCCCCGCTCCTTATATGGCTCCAGGCCCCGCCCCCGCGTCAGGCCCCGCCCCCTCCCCGCCAGGCCCCGCCCCTCCCCGCCCGCCCATTCGCGGTCCTGCGGCGCCCCCTGCCGGCGACTCGGGGCAGTGCGGGAGGGGCCGGGCCGCGCCCCCCGCCCCGGGACCCCCGGGGCCGCCCCCCCCCCCCGGTCCCCTTCCCCCTCCCCCGGCCCCGCGCAGCTGCTCCGCGCCCGCCGTGATCGATGGCCCCGGCCCGGCCGGGACGCGGCGGCCCCGGGCAGCAGGCTGGCGGCGCTGCCCCTCCGGGGGGCGGCAGGTGGCCGCCACAGCCCACCACCCCCACCCCAGTCCCCGGGGCCCGGGGGGGATCGACCCGCTTCCCCTCTCGGGGGGCCCCGGAGCTGGTGGGGGGGGGGGGGCGGTGATGGATGCCCCGGCCCAGTCCTGGCCGCGTTTTGTGTCCCTGGGGGGGGAGGAAAAGCGGACAGAGCGGAGAAAGGCGCAGTGTGCCCCCCCCCCCCGCGGTGGGGGCACCCCCCCCCCGGGAATCCCAAGCACGCTGTCGTGGGCCCCCCCGCGCCGGGCGGTGTCAGCCTCAACGGGAAGGCGTTAACTGTGGGGGGCCGGGAGGGGCCAGACCCAGCAGCAGCAGCCCCCCGAGGACAGGCGCTGGGCTTCTGGGGGCAGCCTGGGGCCGGCTGGGGCTCCTCTCACCCCTGATCCCCCCCTCAGAGACCCCCCCCCAGAAGCGCAGCGAGACAGACACAGGAATGGGGCCTCGGCTTTATTGAGCAGCGCCCAGCCCGTGGCCACCAGGAACTGGGAAGGGACAAAGGGGGGGGGGGCCAGGACCCCTCGGTGGGGGCCCAGGACCCCTGGGGTTCACAGGCAGACCCCCATCAGGTTCACCGGCCGCCCACTGTAGCGCTTGGAGATGTCGGCCTCGATCTGCAGGACAGAGGCTGGGTGAGGGGTGGGACAGAGGCGGGGGGGGGGGCAGCCCCCCTCTGTCCCTCACCAGCCGCTGCAGCTCCCTGGTCGTGTCCAGCAGCCGGTCCAGTTTGGGCTCCAGGTTGCCCTGCTCGGCCAGCGCCTCCTGCCGCTTCTGGCCCAGCGCCTCCCGCTTGGCCAGCAGCAGCTCCGCCTGCCTCAGCTTCTGCTGCAGCAGCTCGCTCACGCGGTCCACGTACCTGGGGGGGGGAAGGCAGCCCCTCCGTCACCCCCCCGCCACCCCCCCGCCGCCCCCAGCCCCAATCCCCGGCTCCCCTCCCCAAGTTTCCCCCCGTGAGGCGACCTGGGGGAGGCGAGGATGGTGAAGAGGTGCTGCATGCGCCGGGTGCCCAGCTGGCCCAGCAGCGCCCGGGTGCTGGCCAGCAGCGAGGCCACGCGGGGGCTGCTCTGGCCCTGCAGCGCGGGGGGGGCCAGCTGGAACTGGCTGGCGGCCAGGACGTCGGCCTCCTCCTCCATCTCTGCCAGGCGCTGCGCCAGGAACAGCTCCAGCTGCGGGGACAGCGCTGCTGGGGGGGGCCCTGCCGGCACCCCCCCACCGTGTGGGGATGGGGCCCGAGCCGACCCCCCCGCTCACCTCCATCAGCTCGTCCAGGAACTGGTTCCGCGTCTCGGCGAGCTCCAGCACTGTCAGGGCCTCAGAGCCACAAGCGACCCCCTCGGGCACTGGGGGGGGTGCAGAGAAGGGAGTGCCCCGGCCCCACAGCACCACTGGGCTCCCTGCCCCCCTCCCAGCTCCAGATCTGCACCCAGGGCACTGCAGGCAGGGGGGGAAGGGGGGACAGGGGGGAGTGGGGGGGTGTGGGGCCCCTCGTGGCCGTGCTCACCCTCCGTGCCAGCCTCCAACACCGCGATCTGGGCCCCGTCACCGTCACCATCACCCCAGTCAATGCCATCGTCCTGCTGCAAAACAGAGGGCACCCAGTGAGGGGGGGCACCCACAACACCCCACAACACCCGAGCTTGCTCCCAGACGTCACCTGGGGGCTGGGCTCCAGCGTGATGCCCCAGTCGATCTCGTCCTGTGCCCCCCCAGTGGCAGCACCATCACTTGTCCCACTCGGCTCCAGCGTGAAGTCTCCCCAGTCGATCTGTGGCGAGGACAACAACCCCCTGAGCCCCCCCGCACCTCCCTGAGCCCCCCGGAGCCGTCCTGCCCCTTCCCAGCTGGGAGCCTCCCCCGTTTCTGCTGGCAGCAGCTGCCCCACAGCCCCAGAGCCCCCCCTGTCCCCTGGCCACCAGACAGCCCCGGTCCTGCCGCTGCTCCCTGGCAGCAGGATCAGGGGCTGCAGGAAGGCAGCGGGAAGCTGGGGAGAGGCAGGATCCCTGCGGGTCGCTGCCGGCCTCCCCAGCCCGCTGCAGCAGCAGCAGGGCCGCACGCACCGCGTCCTCCTTCGGCTGCTCCGGCACCTCCTGCACCTCCGGCCGCTCCACGCGCACGGGCTCGAGCCCCGTCCTCCACTCGTAGACGGTGGTGTTGCCTCTCCTCCCCACAGTGCCGCAGCAGGGGCAGCACCGGCTCTGCTGAGCTGGGGGGCGCCGCAAAGACTTCAGTGTCAAGGTGCAGGGCAGGGAGCCCCCGACACCCCCCGTCCCAGCAGGGTCCCACCTGGGAGACACCCCCGGGCGTCGTGGCCCCGCGCCCACCTCTCGCAGACGAACTCCACGCAGGCCTCGTACAGCTCAATGCCTCGGTGAGCGCGCTGGCCCCCGCCCCGATCTCGGAGAGCAGCGAGGGCAGCTCCTTCACCAGGGCCAGCAGCTCCTGGCGCACGTTGTCCCCCTGGGGGCGGAGCAGGGATGTGTTGGGGTGGGGAAGCAAAACCCAAACCCCCCGGGCAGCTTCGCCCCCTGCTCCCAGAGCTGGGCAGGGGCAGAGGCGTCACCCTCCACCCGCAGCTCCCCCAACGGGCAGCACGGTGCTGTGGGGACACCCCCGGGACACCCCCGGGACTCACGGTGATGCCGTACTGCTTGCAGGAGGCGTAGAAGCGCTCGCGCAGCTCAGCGGCCGCCAGCTGACATTCCTCCTCGCGGCGTGCGAAGTCCTGCTGGGCCTGCTGGCAGCGGCTGATCTGCTTCCGCAGCGCGGGGGCCTCGTAGCTGACGCTGCGCACCAGGAGGCTGGCGAGCTCGGCTGCGGGGCGGCGGCAGGGCCCTGAGCTGACCCACGGGGCCCTGCTGGCCCCATGGCAGCCCCCCCCGTGCGCCCCCTCCCCGGGGCTCACCCAGGTAGGTGTTCTCCTTCTCGTAGAGCGCCACGATCTCCTGCCAGTCCTGCGGGGAGGCAGAGGAGGGGGGTGGCAGGGCCTGGGGCTGCTGCCGGCCCCTCCCGGTGCCGGTGCCGGTCCCCGCTCACCTTCATGCGCTGGGACGAGTAGCGCCCGAAGAGGTTCCTGGTGGAGGCCTCGGTGCCCCGGAGGATCTCCACGATGCGCAGGCAGTGGAAGTAGTGCAGGGCTGCGGGGGGCGGCGCCGTCACCGGGCCGGCCCCGCACCGGGACCGGGACCAGGCCCGGGACGAGCCGGTCCCCGCCGCACGCGCGTGGCCTCACCGCTGCCCGCCAGCAGCTGCCGGATCTCCGGGTGCTCGGGCATGTCCCGCAGCGCCGCCTCCATCCTCTGCCGCACCAACCGGGCCTGCGCCTGCCACCGCCGCCCGCAGTGCCGCCGGTCCAGCAGCCAGTCTGCGGCACAGCGACGGGCTCGGCGGGCGGCACCGCGGCACGGGGCCGGGGGGGGCGGTGACGGCCCCGGCCCCCAGCCCCAGCCCCGGCCCCAGCCCCGGCCCCCGCCCCGGCCCGGCCCCGGCCCCGGCCCCGGCCCCGGCCCCGCCGTACCGAGCAGTTTGCTGGTCTGGATGTCGATGGGCACATCCCGGTAATCCTGCGGTGGGGCCTGCGGGCGGCACGGGGGGGGAGGGCGGAGGTGGCACCGGGACCGGGACCTGCACCGGGACCTTGCCCCTTGCCCCCTGCCCCTCTCCCCCTCCCCCCCCCCGCTCCCCACCTGCATCCGCTGCTGCCCGCCGTTGCCGCCGCTGCCGCCGCTTCCGCTTCAGCTCCGTCCGCCCCGCCCCCCTAGCAGCCAATCCCCGCTCGGCTCCCGCCACGCAGCCAATCGCGACGCGCCCTGCCCGGTGAGCTCCGCCCCGCCGCCAATCGGATGAAGGCGGCTCGGGGGCGGGGGGAAACAGTGCCACGCGCCGCTGTTCTGATTGGCGGAGAGGACGGGGCGCCTGACCAATAGGAGGGGGGCTCCGCCGAGGAGGGGCACTCAGGACGGAGCGGAGCGCGCATGCGCAGTGCCGCGCGGGCGGCAAGGAACGGGCACGGGGCAGCACCGGGATGGCCCCGCCCCCATCCCGTGTGGCCCCGCCCCCTCCCGGTCAGGCCCCGCCTCCATCGATCCAGACCCCGCCCCTCTCATGCCAGGCCCCGCCCCTCGCCCCCCGCTCCGTGCCCCCGCCGCTCGTTCCCCCCCCCCCGGTGTCCCCCGGTGCCCCCCGCAGCGCGGCGCTACCGGGGACACCGGGGGGCTCCGGGGGCTCCCTCCGGGCCCTGCCCGGCCCCAGCCCCGTGCCCCCGGCGGCACCGCGCCCCCCCCGGCCCTCCTCGGGCCCGTCCGGTACCGGGGGGCCGAACCCGCCGGGAACCCCCCCGGGGAGCCCGGACCGGGGCCGTTGCTCGGGGCCCGGGGACCGCCGCTCCCCGTCATGAATATTCAGCGCTGCGCGGCCCGGCCCCGCCGCCTGCCCGGCGGGAGGGGTTTGGGCGCGGGTTCACCTTGACTCGCGGCGGGGCAGCGGCAGGTGCGGGCCCTGCCCGGTGCCCGGTGCCCGGTACCCGGTGTGCCCGGTGCCCGGTGTGCCTGGCCCACGGCGGGGCGGGAGGCGCAGGTACGGGCAGCGGTGAGGCTCTTGGGGGGTGCGGGGTGCCGCCAGCCTGGCCATGGGCACCTGCCACCAGCGGTGCCACCGGGCATGACGTGGCCCCAAGGCGGGGGGCCCCGAAGCACCGGGGGTTGGGGTCACGTCCCGGTGCCGGGTGACGCGGGGGCCTCGAAAGCCGGCACCAAAAACACCGCTGGGGGCACGGGGGCAGCGCTCGGTGGCTGGCAGAACCGGGTGGGGGCCGTGGGATGGGGGCCGGTGTGCGGGGGACAGAGTCCGGCACGGGGACCCCCAGCACGGGGAACCCCCGTGGCCGCCCCGCTGCCCCCCGCAGCACCGGGGCTGGGACACGAGGCCCCGGCCCCCGCCAGCTCCCGGCTGCTTCCCGGTTCCTGTTTGCTCCCGGGGCCGCCGCCAGCCCTGCAGGGGGGCAGCCGGGGACACGGCAGACCCCGGCCGTAACCCCCCCGTTCCCCCCAGGCGCCCCGCGGCCATGGCCGAGAGCCACAGCTGGTGGAAGCTGACCTTCCTGCGGAAGCGCAAGTCCATGCCCCAGGTGCTCTACGACAGCCCCGACGTCCACGCCGGCGACGGCCCCGAGGGTAACGGCGAGGGGGGGACGCCCGAGTACACCGCCCGCCTGGAGAAGATCGTGGACAAGAGCAGCAAAGGCAAGCACGTGAAGGTCTCCAACTCCGGGCGCTTCAAGGAGAAGAAGAAGGTGCGGGCGACGCTGGCCGACAACCCCGGCCTCTGCACGGGCAGCGAGCGGGAGGAGAAATGAGGCCAGGAGGGGGCACGGTCCCGCTGGGTCGTGGCCCCCCTGCCCCCTGCAGCCCCCCGTCCTGCTGGGCTCGGGGCCGGTGACACGATGGAGGGGGGGGGCTCGCTGTGGGGCTGGCCGGACCCCCCCCAGCACCTCGGCAGGAGAAGTGACTCGGGTTGGACTTTATTGAAGCAGGAAGCCACGAGCATGGGGGAGCTGCGGGAGCCCCGGCCCCCGCGGTGACACCGGGCAGAGCCCTGGGGCTGCCCCCACCCCGCGCTCCGGCTGCCACCAGGCCCGCTGCTCCGATCTGGATCCAGCCCTGGGCCCGCAGGACGGAGCAAACCCTCAGGGAGCGGCTCCCGTGGGGAACCTGGGGGGGCTGCGCTGTCCCCGCGCTGTCCCCGCCGTGTGCTGCCCACCCCAGGACCTGCTCTTTGCTCCCGGAAGGGGAGAGCCGCGCACAGCCGGTGGCCGGGCCGCCCTCGCAGCCCCTCCGCGTGTTTGTTTCTTTCCTTCCCTCCCCTGGGAGCTGCGCCCTGGGTGAGCTCTCGCTGCTGTTCCGTGTCAATAAAGCCGGGCTGGGAACAAAGGCAGCGCGGTGCCCGGTGCGGCTGCCCCGGGGCAGGGGGCCGGTGGCGGAGCTGTGCCACGAGGCAGCGGGCGATTCCGGGCCCCGGGGCTCCGAGCCAAGCTCCGGGGCTGCTCCGGGGAGTCCCCGGCCCCGCAGAGGCACAACCGCACCCGACTGCGCACAGAACGGGACCGGGACCGGACAGCCCCAGCACGCTGCGGGCCGGGGGCTGCCAGCAGTGCCCCCAGCCCTGGGGGTGCACTGGGGGCTCACCCTCCCCCCAGAGCGGGGGCAGCCACACGCCTGCAACAAGGCCCCGGCCCTCGTAAAAACCGACCCGCGCCAAGCCAGACCCCTTCCCTGGCACAAGGCCCCTGCCGGGGCAGCCCGGGCTTCCCAGCAGCTCCCGCCCCGGGGCTGTTTGCTCTCCAAACACGCTCACAAGGTGCTCTTTGTGCTCTTTGTGCTCTTTGTGCTCTTTGTGCTCTTTGTCCCGTGCTGGCAGCACCCAAGGGTTCCTGCCCCAAAGGGACGGGAGAAGGGGGAGGGTGCATGGCCGGCACCCAGCGGCTGGTGCCACCCGTTACGGTGGTGCTGGGGCTCCCAGCGCCGTGGGGGCACGCAGGGCGAGAGGTCGAGGTCTGGGGTCACCCTCTGTGGTGGGCACCCATGGAGCTGAACGGGGCCCAGCTGAGCCCCCAGCCCCGCACTGGGACACGCAGCCACCTGCTGGAGGTGCCGCCAGCCCCATGTCCCCTCCTCCCTACCCCAGGCTGTCAGGCACCGTGGTGGCACCATCCCCATCCCAATACATCCCACCCAATCCCATCCCGCGCCACCCGGCAGGGCTTGGCCCAGCTCCAGGGGGTTCCCGGCTCTGGCACGGGACCCGAGGTGACAGCAGCGCCTGAGCCCTGCGGGGACACGGGGCAGCCCTGGGCTGAGCACAGCCGGGGGGCTGCCGAGGGGCAGGGGAGGTGCTGCCTCCCCCCGAGCAGCCGGGAGGCTCACACAGCCCCACAGCACCGGGGGCTCCGCTCCCCCCCTGGGGACCCCCCGGCTGTGGGACCCCCACAGAAGGCCCCAGGGACCCTCCTGCCAAGGCCGCGTGTCCCCACATTGCCCCCCAGCAGGGCCCGATCCTGCCCTGGGCGCACACGGCTGGAGGGGGCGAAGGTTTTGGGCCCCGGTTTCGCTGGGACGCGGCCCAGGAGGCGGCGCGGGGCCGGGCGGGGCGGCAGCAGCCTCCACCGGGGAGCGCAGCCCAGCCCAGCCCGGCTCTGCTGGGTGAAGATTAACCCCCGGCCACACACAGGCTCCGCTCGGGCAGCATTTATTGCTCCCGAGCCGGGAGGAAGCAGCGCGGAGCAGGCAGGGCACAGGCGGGGGCCCAGCAGCACGCAGCCGGCCACCACCCCCCACGGGGACAAAGCCACAATTAAGTTAATTACTGCACGGACTGAGCGCACGGCGCGGCTCCAGCTG